TTAATAATAATGATGTGGCAGGATACTAATGTTTACAGCACGGTCGATAAATCGCATTTCAATTTGATTGAGAACGTTAATAATAGCATCACGGAAAAATGTTAATAACGTATGTGAAAAAACTAATATGTATTGTTGACAACATTGACAACTCCGTTACGTTGCTCTAAAAATCTCAAATCAAAGGCTCCCCTTATTGCACATGGTTTTAGTTACTTGTTAATAATCCCAGTAATATAATTAATAATAGAGTCACGGAGGTTAACAATGTTGACAACACAACCATTAAATCACCTTTTTATTGATAACTATAGTAGCGTCAGTAAAAAAATGTTAATAGTGTAAGCCAAATCACTAATATGTAAGGTTGAAAATGTTGACAACTCCATTACATTGTCTCGAAAACCTCAATCCACCAGCTGCTCAATCCACAGGCTCCTCCATTACGTTGACAATTCTGTCGCATTTCTTTTCGATGGCAAGCAACGAATGTAGCGGGCCGATAACAAGTTTGTTATTACAGATCTTGGATTGTGGCATATCATGTAGTACTACAAAAAAATTGATAAGGGCATTCAAAATATTACTAATGATGAAAAAACGCTAATGATGAACAAAGATTGTTAATACTACACGTTAATTCAACCGACAAATTAATAATGGCACACTAGTAAAAAATTGAACATGACTCTGAAAATATTACCAATGGATGAAGAAACGTTAACAATAAACTAAGATTGATAATATTACATATTAATTTAGCAGACAGATTAATAATAGCACAATCTTTAGAATAAGACCGGTCATTATCAAATCATGCACGATTGACGACATCACTTCCAAATATTACAAATTACTATGAACTAAATTAATAATAAACTATATTAGTGAATTAATACCGATTACCAACAAATTGATAAAACGATTACGAAGCGACAATAAAAAAGTTAATAGCACAACCTAACATAATTAACTGGCCTATCAGACAACATTCACAATACGACAAACATTGACTATTGAGCGGGTAAAAATATTGACCATAGCCCTTCAGAATATTACAAATCATGGCGACGTAAATTGATCATAAACTATATTAGTGAAAAACCCTCAGCACACATTATTAGTTTTAACAATCTTTGTAATGCGGGATAAGAAAAGTACAAGAAATAATTGATAATGGGATTAGTAAAATTGATAATGAAGTTGATATTATTAATAAAGAATGCATGTATGTTAATAATGGAAATATATAAACATAGTGATAATGGCCTATATACTATTACTAACGAGTGTATATATATTATGAATGCATACTTGTGAGCTATACTACTCTCATTGTCAATTGTACTGGCAAAGGCATTTTGATATTATCAGTTTTACTAATGTCATTATCAATTTATTGATACAAATGAACACAACTTTGACCATCGCCCTTTGAAAGTTTAAAGAACCAGTGCACCTAAATTCATAAGTAACTTTATCAGTAAGCCAATTTCGACTACCAACAAAAAGATTAATAACGTCGTGTTAAATATTAAAAATTTCAAAAAATAGGTTAAAACGGAGCACGTTACTAGATAATAATGTATATTTTTGAAACGTTAATACCTGCTGAAGAAACATTAATAACGTCGGGCTAAAACTCGTCGACGTTAATTCAACAGATTGGGAAAAGATATTGACCATCGTCATTGAACGGGATCATTGGAGGCGACGAATATTACCTTGAACGCCGCCTAGGAGAGAGCAGGGATCGACGACAGCCTGAACGAGATAGACGACTGACTGAAGCAAGGCCGGAAACGGATTTTGGGGACAGAGCGAGGGCCAAACAGGAAACTGGGGCGAACAAGAAGTTGTGACGCCGATGGCCAAAGATTGCTGACGAAGGGACGCCCGGAGAATACAGACAAAGATTCCCGACGACGGAGACGGCTGGAGACTGCTCTCGAAGAGACGAGTTAACACAAAACCTGTTACGATGGGAGGGAGAAAAATCGACGGGACGTGTGTTTGAAAATTAGTATGATTTATTATTTAGATTTTATAATATTTATAATTCCCAACGTACCCTCGACAACTAATAACTCCTTACTAACTACCTAAAACCAAATCAACCAATCACACCGCTTTAAAATCCTCCTTAAGAAAGGGGACTTAAGGACTTGAACTCAAACCCTCCCCTAACCTAGCCTTATATCTTATTATCGAACCATCCGCCTTTTATTAGACTCTAAACAGTAAACACCCATTATGGTGTAGCCTATAGCAGTACTACCAAGTGGTAAATCAACTAAGGTCCAAGTATGCGTGTCTTGCAATGCTTTTAAGTTCGAGATTCATAACTCTAATCCATTATGGATCTGTAATAGCTTGTTTGTAAGCCTTAGGTTCAGAAGATTGTGTAATGGCTAAGCCAAAACGTTTATAGGCAGAGGATAGATTATTATATGAATTAACAGAGTGAAGAGGATAGTTGCAACAAAGAAATGAGGTAGAATGACATGAATTGCCAACTGATGAATTCAGCTTATTATATGGTATTGTGCAAGATAGAAAGGAGGTTGGTTGTTGTGTCGTAGGAATCATCGAAGTTAGGGTTCATCTTGTTTAGGTTGTGCTTTTACAAGAGGTTCATCTCGCAGTGGTGTTTCTGGGACTGTATCTGCTAATGACGCATTAGAGTTTGTGATAGTGGATGGAGAAGAGTGAAATGTGGGCGGAGGATTCATATGGAGTGGGGTTTCAAAAGAGATAATGGTGGTGAGGTCAGGGTAGAGAAACCACTCTCCCTTGCTTCAGATCTAGAGGGAACATCACAAAGATTTCTGCAGATCATCCCTTTTCCTGGCGTTCTGCACCTCCTATTTACCACTTTGCTTAACGGGGGTTTATAGCGGTGCCTTCTTTTATCCGCTCGAAAACTTACCTCAATACATCTAAGGCAAAACTGTGCGAGTTTAGATACAAAGTGTACAATATGTTAGTCAGAACAGTTAATTTATTAGGTAGAAAGAACCAACATATAGGGGCTGTTTTTTATTAAAAAAAAATGTTTGTTAATGATATTCTTTTTTCCTGAAAATATGTTTACGCTAGATTAGGTGAGCCTGAAATCAAAGGTTGTTTGGATTCATGATTTGGGTGTGTTATTCTGGTGTCAAATAACACAAAATGTGTTATTGGACATCAAATAGCATGTTTGGATGGAGAAAAAATGATGCAACATTTGACACATAGTATTTTTCAAATACCACAAACCTGTTATTTGACAAATACTAGAGGGAAGGGTTGTTATTCTCCAAATAACGTGTTATTATATTTTTTGTTCCAATTATGTCCTCGTTTCTTTTTATAAATTTCAAACGGGTCTCCTTTTTACTCCGATTTTTTTTGTCTCATAACCGTTATTTGTTGCCCCCTATTATCTTAATTCTGTTTAACACTACCTTCGTTTAAGAGAATATTTTTTGTGTAGAAAGTCTCAAATTCAGAATCTTCCGCTGCACGTATTTCCCGAGAACAAAGTCATAGGCGCGTAGGTTCAGAGCCAGACCGACTACTCCAAGAGTACTCATCCATAAACCGGTTACTGGTACAAATAACATAAAGAAATGTAACCAACGTAGGGGGTCGATTCACAGGAACAACCTTTGAAACCTCGTGGTATACTCATGGATTAGCCAGTTCCTATTTGGAAGGATGCAACTTCTTAACTGCCGCAGTTTCTACTCCTGCTAATAGTTTAACCCATTATGTGTTGTTACTATGGGGTCCTGAAGCACAAAGAGATTTTACTCGTTGGTGTCAATTAGGCGATCTGTGGACTTTTGTTGCTCTCCACGGCGCTGTCGGATTAATAGGGTTTATGTTACGCCAATTTGAGCTTGCTCGCTCTTTACAATTACGCCCTTATAATACAATCGCATTCTCCAACCCAATTGCTGTTACAATATATCTTGATACACTGTTCTATTAAAAGATATATAAACTCCAAACAAATTAGTAACATATATATATATGGCGAGTTCTACGGTACTCTGGGTGAAATCCGGGGTACCGCATACCTTGAGTATGAAAACACTATCTAGACCTTGAATTGACCGATCTTTTGGACATGATACTATACTCTAACACTTAAAGATCAAAATCTAGGTGTTAACTCTCCCAATCTTATACTCCAAGATCAATTTAATTAGAAACAATAATCGACGGTTATGATTCATCCAAATATAGGCACAAAAAGGAATGCACCATCTTAGGGTTTATAGATTATGATTTAGATAATTATGACCTACGTTTCACTCATTAAGGGTTAGGGTATAATATCATACACAAAAATCCTGCTAATTCGAGGTCTGGATAGCGTTTTCATACTCGGGGTACGCGGTACCCCGAGTATGAAAACGCTATCCAGACCTCGAATTAGCAGGATTTTTGGGCATGATACTATACCCTAACTCTTAATGAGTGAAACGTAGGTCATAATTATCTAAATCATAATCTATAAACCCTAAGATGGTGCATTGTTTTTTTTGCCTATATTTGGACGAATCATAACCGTCGATTATTGTTTCTAATTAAATTGATCTTGGGATATAAGATTTATAGAATTAAGACCTAGATTTTGATCATTAAGGGTTAGAGTTTAGTATCATGTCCGAAAGATCAGTCAATTTAAGTTCTGGATAGCGTTTTCTTAATCAAGGTATGCGGTACCCCGAATTTCACCCTGGGTACCGTACAACTCCCCATATATATATATATATATATATGGTTCAGACTCGTGTGCTCCAGACACATAGTATGCTCCAGGTTTTACACACCGTTGATCTAATCTGGCGGTCATTATAAATTATAATAAAATTATTTACAAAATACAAATTAAAGATAATTGATCGGTTCCCTTACATTTTCATTCGTTCTCTTTAGTCCCCAACTAATTATTCATTTACTTTCATATTCCTATACCTATTCTCTTCCATTGATAATTTAAACATCCCAAATTGGATGCTTTAATTTAAACACCCCGTTCACATTTTCCCTTCATCGAGATTCTCAAACCCTCTCCTCTCTCCCATTCACAATCATCAAACCCTTATTTGAACATGGCTTTCCCCACTTCACATTTTCCCTTCGCCCTGATTGTCGACCCTATCCTCTCCACCGTTCATCATCAACAAAACCCCTTTCATTACATGCACCCCATTGATCATTCAATTTCTTCCTCATCGCATACATTCCTCCCACCGTGCAATATGATAGATAAGTGAATGTTTATAATCTTATAATCGCAGATTAAGGTGTTGGGTTAAAACGGCGAATCGAGAATTGGAGGGAAGGGGTAATCGACGAAGGATCTCTACTGTCAAGACGTCTTAAGAAGAAATCGATAGCGATGACAAGCCAGGTGACGGAAGTGGAAGAGGTTGGTGAAGATGGGGAATCTGATTTCGTAGCGGGCTGGTTCAACGACGATATTGGTTTCGTCAGATCCGGAACAACTTTCACCCGGTCGCTGTTAACTCTTCCACATTGGTGTCCGGTAATCTGCTGTCGTTCGTAGTTTGTTTTGAATTTTGTTCTTCTTTACCGATAACTTCTTATGGCTGATATCCAAGGAATTTACATTTTGGCATCTTCGTGGTTTGTATATGCATTCACATTGTGTGACTGTAAAAGATGAGAGGATGAAATAGATTGACCAACTCTACATGACATCAATATGCAATTGGCATTTACTGGGAAAAAGCTATTTTGAGAAAGGGTTCGAGGCTTGGGATCTTAAGGAATATGGTTAAGTTCCCTCATCATTTTCGGTTTTAGATGTATGCTGTTTTAGGACGGTAGATTTGAAAATCTTGGTTGTCTCTGTGTTCTAATGTATTTAACATGACAAGTGTCCATGGATGCCAGATTGGGGACAAAAAGGGATAATGGATTGCAATAGTAAAGCTGGAACTAACTCCAATTTTGGATCTGAAACTATCTTCTTCTGTTTTCTGGTTGGCATTATTATAAGAATTGAGCACCAAGGCTCTCTGACGACAGTAGTTAATAGGAACTTCTGTAATTTAAATTTGGATTGTTTGTGGGACTTTTTGTATATCAAGGTCCAAATCCAAATATCAAGTTCCACTAGTGCAGGTTACATCCTAATTATCAATGTCAATAGTTAGTGATTGTAGGTTACATTAGTGAGGCATTTTTCGATCTCGGCTCTTCTAGTGGGTAACAAATTCATTATCTGCATAATCAGAAGGACGAGAGTAAAAGCCTGAAGAATCTGAGTGTTAGCAGGAGCCTTTGGCGTGAGAAGCGTAGCTGAAGCAAGAGTTTGTCCTGCTGCTACTGACTTATTTCAGGAAGCTCTCTTAATTGGATTCAGCTAGTCACTTATTCTTGCTTTGTCTTAGATTTGTTGGTTTATTTTGCAGGTACAAGGGTTTGACTCATGCTTGTTATCTTTACATCTGTAGGTTGAGTGCTCCGGAATGGTGAAAATAATTGATGAATCTAAGGATGTTGAGTGGTGGTTAACTGGTCATAAAATTTCTCGGTTGTGAAGTGGTGGGGAACTGATCAGACTAAGGGGATTATTATTCTATAGTGCTGAGTTAATAGGTTTTTATTTCGTATGTAATTCGGTTAAGTGTGGGCGGTAACAAAGGAAACTCCACTGACATCAGAGAGGCTTCCAAGAACAATAACAAGTTCAGCAGAAGTGGTTGTTAGAGGAGCCTTCCAATATGAGTTAAGTCATCCAGAGTTCAATGGAGCAGTAATGACAAAAATGGAGCTAAATACTTTTCTGTTTCAACCTGTAATTGGATAATATATTTTCAATCAATAACAAAGGGGATAGAGGTCTATAAAAAATAATCGATAACTGATAGACCGTTAATTACACATGTTTTTACCCCTGTTCTTACACCGTTTGAGATGTGATTTCTCGTGTTTTAGGTCGATTTCACGCTAGGTTGTGCTTGTTTGTGATATTTCAGGTCCTAGTACGTGAATGGAGGGTTGGGAGCGAGTTTGGGGTCGATTGGATGAAGATCGGGCGCGAGGCAAGCCGACGAGGAGGCCACACGGGCACACATGTGGAGGAGCAAGGTGGCCGTGCGAGTTTCGCCGAGAGCAAACACGGGCATGATGGAAATCCCACACGGCCGTGCGACCCTGGCCGTGTGGGAAGCCTGAAGATCGAACTAATTGATACGCCGCGTTTTGACTCACACGGGCAACTGGGTGAGCCACACGGCCGTGTGGCCTGCCCGTGTGAGTCGGGAAATCTTGGTTTTTCAGCCAATTTCGAGCCACAAGTAAAAGAATCAGACTTTTTGAGCAAAAACAGAGCCCTAGAGAGAGAAAGGACGAAGAACACATCGTAGAAGCTATCTTGGAGCTGGGTTTCATCAAATCAAGCTTGGAGATCGTCATAGGAGTGGAAATCATCATCCCAGAGCAGATTCTTCCCATAGTTATGAGTATGACTGCTTTGTATCTTGTTTTCCTCTCTCTCTCTCTATGGAGTAGAACCCCTCTCTCACTTGGGGATGAAGAACCCTAGTTCTATGTGTTAGGGATTGACTGTAATGACTTGGGATGATATTACTATTTGATTTTAATCGAATGATGCATGTTTATTGAGTCAATTGAAGTCTGATCAACTTTTCCTGATTCCTGATGCAATCTGAGATAGATAGAATCTTATTAGGTTGCTAGAGTCTCATCATTCGGTAGTAGGAGATTGGCTATACGAGAGTTAGTCAGTTTACTGCTTTGTCTAGGAATCCAATTCCAGTAGTGGAGTTCTGTTCTTACTGCTTCAGCTTTCTATCCCGGTGAAGACTAGTCGTCTGCCGGGTAGTTAGACTGAGAGGGCTTGGTCAGCTTAAGAGATTCCAAGCTACTGTCGGATCTTCCGCAGTCTAATCAACAGTAAATCAACCCAGGGAAATACAATTGAAACCTAACTAAGGAGCTAGGGGGACTCATTCCCGAGTGACTCTTCTTTGCTTGAGAAAACCGTACCAATTCCTGCTTTCTTTCTACTTTTAGTTTAAACACAAATCACTCGACTTAGTTGGTTAGATAATAAATAATCACGGAGTAAGCAGTAGATCTAGACCCCGGGTTGATAATAGAACTTGCCTGTTACTGCATTCCCGGACTGCGATTACACTTGGTCGCAGTTTGGTGTTGTGTTTTGGCGTGTCAATAACATTCTAATAGCAAAATCAACACTGCTTGCTACGGATATTAGAGATTTTTAATAAGACCCAATCCTCTTTTGCCAGATGAAGGAGAAGATTATAAATTGTATGATTAATTGGCATTTGTTACTCCCCCACCAGTTGTCATATTGGCTAGGATAGGGGCCCCAAATCCAAGAAGTTTATCATAATGAAAGAAGTGAGATGGGGAAAGAAGGAAAGAAAAAAAGCCCCAACTTCATTTGCACTCTTAACACGTAATTCCAAGTTCTGCTCGTCAAGAGAGAACTTCAAGCTTTGTAAATGTATAAAAAATGTCGATGTTGTGTATCTAAACATATAGACCAAAGATTCTCAAACCATAAACTTAACTAGTTCAACAAACAACCAAGTTCAATAGAACGAAAAGAACCGAATCCCATGATAATGTAAACTGAAATTTGTTCATCCAAAATACCCAACAGAAATGCAACCGTTAATCTGATGAAATGTAGTGAAACATATAACGAACAAGTCCTTGAATAAAAAAAGCAAGCTTAAATTACGAAATCACGGAAGCACTATCTCCATATAGCTCTAGTTCTTGTTCAGCCTCTTTCGATTTTCTTCCTTGTACGTACGAGTCTCGAGTTCAAACCTCGGTGCATTCCTATTTGCTTCCTTGATGACCACATGTCTTATGTAATTTGCAGGTTGTTTGACCACATACAAAGCTAGTTGCGTTCTCCTCATATCTCCACATGGCTGAAATTTTTTCACAAAGACAATGGATCTCAATAGCAAATTCACTAGGTTGTTTAACTACAAGTTCAAGCAAGTGAATTGTTGCTTACCCATATAAAATAATCTTCATCCCAAGTTGCACCCATCATCCATATGCACACCCAAACGCCACTGTCATACCTACATAAATTTAGATGAAGCATATGATCAGTTGTGAGTATGTTTTCGAATTTATGCATGAGGAATGATTCTTACTCGTGACGTTGTTCAGGAACTAAAGGAATTGTCAAAGAGAACTCCTTCATCACTGGGGGATCGCACATTTGTTCCACTTGTAAATAAAGATCCTCGAACAAGGCATCGAGAAATCCAATCTACATAAGGAGTAACTTTATTACAAATAGAAGAGAACAAAAATCCATTTCACAAATATAATCCTATTCCATGCACAAATTCTAACCATACCATAGTTTGTACTGCATCTTTACGAGGTGTTTGGCGCTCTTTAGAAGGATATGAATCCAAGATATGAACTTGCTTGTCATCCATCAAGATGACTACTAAATACCAATGAATGTCATCACCATGCATGATATCCTTCATTGGCAGACACAACTACATTACGACAAGAAACACTAAAATCAGTAAACCATATTTGACATTCCATTTATGAAAAAGTTAAATAGCTTGATTGGAATAAAAAATTATTCACATATATCTTCATACAATAGCTAGAAACAATTAATGAGGAAGCCAAAAGTGAAATGCAGAAGAAAGTATTGAGAAGAAAACCTTTCTGCAGGTGTGAGCTGTTGTGAGAAACTTTGTACCGTAACACTCTAAAGCTTTTTTCGGTGTCATGCCATAGTCAAGTACCATTTCCTAATCATGATTTGATTAAATTAGCAGAATTAAACGTTTATTATATACCATAGGACAAACAATATATTTCACCTAAAATACATGTACAAGGTAAATCAATATGTACCTGCAGTTCAGTAGACAGAAAACATACTCTTCTCCCACGGCCAGCATCTCTCGAAATTTCGTCCAGGGTCAAGTGGCAAGTCATTGCTGTAATTACCTAATATACCAACCAACCAGGGTATACAAATTTTAGGAGATTGGTACTATGCGAGTTGAACGGTAAGGAGAGAGGTAAGGTGCAATCTCTATTGAAAATGAGAAGCAAATAAATCATATTAGAAGACCAATATTTTGATTGTTTTGATAGAATTGAAAGGCGCAAACACCATCCTACACTAGATACAAGTACAAAGAAACACATAGATACAGTTGGTTCCTTGTCTTTTTTGCTCATTTATTAGTAACTTGGGAACAGTAGGGGAGTTAAGGAACTTGGGTGGAAAGAGGCAAAGAAACAGAAGCCAGGTGGAAGAAGAAGAAGAAGATACAGAAGCCAAGTGGAACATAGCATATACAAGCACAAAGAAAGGCACATGTAAACTTGGTTCCTTATCTGTTGCCTTACTAATATTCTTTATCGAACCCACTAAGAAAGGCACATGTATGCACTGTGAACTTCAATATACCTCACTTTACCGATCTTCTACATGCTCCCATTATTCCTTTTTTCCCCAAAACCTTCCATCTTCATCACTTATTCACTCTATACATACAGTACAGGAACAAGAAAATGAGATAATCATTGGGTTTCCTAATCAAATTCATCATCTATTTGTTTATTATCTGTCACCAATGACCTGCTGCCTTTGATAATGGTGAGTAATGGAATTAAATAGAAGAATAGTGTACAGATACAAAAACAAAATCAGAGAGGAAACTAGAAGCAAAGCTGCAGCAGCAGTGCACTCCTCAAAGAAACAAAGGGAAAAGGGCAAAAATACACAGGAGAAAAAAAACAACAAAGCAAAAGGCATGTCAAATAAACAGGCACCACCAAAGAAAGAACGACAACCACCTGACTCAAATTCTGTATAGAAAGGACATGGTCCAGGCTATGCCTTGATCCTTATCAATTTTCCCACGAATCGTGATCTACTCATTAATAAATGACGTGCAAACAACAAGATATAAAACACTCTTCAACATCCTGATTAGTAACAGTAGGCCAGGATTAAAACTTACATCAGCATCAACATTGGAGTTAGGGCAGAGAGACCATAGCGCCTTTCGCGTATAGGATTTCATCATGGTATCGACTAGGACCTCTTTTAGCGGAAGGTCAGCTACAAATATGTAGTGAGCAAGTTTGATTTCCTCCTCACTGTAGTTGACAGCGTGAGGCAGCCTAAACTTAGTTTCTGCCTGCAATGGAAGACGAAAGAATATTAGCGGGTTCGATAAAAATATAACCACTGATTCCGTTTTAAGGCAGAAAAATATTAGTAGGGTGGATAAAAATACCTTTTCGGTGAATTGTAGGGTAGAAAATCTGGTACGACTTTTCCAGACTAAAGCATTACCATCTCCCCTCGATTCACCATCAAGAACAATCATATTTGATCCCGGCGTCGATGGAGGGATCACACCGACTTCAGTTCTAGCTTTCTTTACCGGAGATACATCCTTCTCCAGCTCCTACGTTCATAGTAATAAAAACAATAGTCATTCTTTAGTTTTTAACGAAAAATAAGCTGCCAACGATGGAGATATGGAAAACATGTAAACTGACAAACCATTATATCGGACGACTGCGCCTTTGATCTTGTCATTATCCCGCTGTCCATAACGTGCTGCATCTTGTTCTTGTCCCTGAGATAAAAAAAGAAATCATAATGAACAAAAGATGAATTTAGAAGAAAGAGAGACTTTACGATGGTGCCCTTCTTCCTCGTGTATATAATTGACTTACCCTGGCTTTCCCATGGTCCTCTTCTATTCCAGCTTCACAAAACAGTGCGGAACTGTGCTCTTCTAATCCTACCGTCACAGAGCTGGGTATTCCTGAAAGCATAAAGGGGTTTCACACGTCTTAATAAAGGGGATGTAGAGTGTTTTTCTCTTTATGGTAAGTGTAATATTTATCTACCTTATTAAGTCAACTTAGAAAATTCTATTATAGCTCTACGGGAAAATCTTTTATCATTAATTAAAGTTAGTGCAATATGTATGCTCCGAAACAATCTAATGCTACCATGTGTCATGTAATCAATTTCTTTTTTAATTTATTTTCCTCTCACTTTACCGATCTTCTACCTGCTTCCATTATTCCTTTTTTCCCCAAAACCTTCCATCTTCATCACTTATTCACTCTATACATACAGTACAGGAAGAAGAAAATGAGATAATCATTGGGTTTCCTAATCGAATTCATCATCTATTTGTTTATTATCTGTCACCAATGAATTTCATCCTTGATTGATTCAAAGGAATTTTTTTAGATGATTCAATGAAAATTTCAAACACAAGAAAGCGGTGAACTACTGATTATCCGCCATTGTTGACGTCTCCGAGAAAAAAGCGTTGACGTGATGATGATGGATGATGCTGTCATACCCATGGATTCTTGTTTAAAACATCCAATGATGTATTGATGAATGAGTTCTATTATTTGGTATCCATTAAAGGCGGGGAAATTCCAGAGGAAGGGAGATAGAGTGTGTTCCCATGTTTCCTCTGTACAGAACACAAAAGGGTGAAGATGGAAGGTTTTGGGAGGAAGAAGATCGGTAAGGAGAGAGACAAATAAATAAAAAATAAATGAATCAATTTACACATGGCAGCATTGGATAATTAATTTGAAGTGGAAGGTTAAGCTACCAAAAATATTAAAATAATAATGTAACTACACGTGTATGTACCTAAATTTAAGTACTAAGATAATCATTCTTAATGTAGACAAAACGACAGAGAGGTAAAAATAGGTTTCCAGCAGCATGTTGGGCATAATTCCGTCGCCTCCAACCCTACCAAACCACCTATAATCAGTATCCCACCCTGCCGAGACCCTAAACCAAAGAAGTTTGCAGCCATTATATCGATGGAAGAAGAAGAACATCCTCGTAACAGTGCCATCGAAGATGACCTTGAGAGTTTAGAGGAAACAGGAGAAACCGACAATGGCATTCTGAATGGAGAAACGACTGGGATGGAAGATGTGATTTTAGATCCTCCTAAAATCGGCCAGATATTTAATGACTTCGAAGAAGCTTACAACTTCTACAATGATTATGCAAGGGCTTGGGGATTCTCTGTTAGGTGCTCAAAGAAAGTTCGGAACAACAAGGTAGAGGTTACTACTGGAGCTTTCGTTTGTTCTTGTGAGGGACATAGAGCCCCCAACAAAGGGGAGAAAAAGAGAGACTCCCCCATGGAGACCAGATTTGGTTGTAAAGCAAAATGGATAGTGGATATATTTAAAGAAGATCACAATCATATGCCAATTAATCGGCAGTGTACTCATCACCTGAGATCACAACGAGGGTTAACAGAGGCTGACAAGGCAGACTTTAGATTTAAGAAGAATGCAGGTATGAAACCTTCTCAAATCATAAAGCTTGCTGTGCATAATGCTGGAGGACATGACAAAGTTGGGTACACAGTAAAAGATGGGATGAATTTCAGCACTCGAGATCGCAATGAAAGGCTATGTCCTAGTGATGCGGCAGCCGCACTGGCCTATCTAGAATCGAAGAAAAGTACGGACACGCACTTCATCCTCTGGTACACTACTGACGAGGAAAATAGGCTCCACAATTTATTCTGGGCAGACAGTATGAGCATAGCTGACCTCTCGTGCTTTGGAGAGTTGCTCGCATTTGACACGACATACAAAAAAAATATTTACAATATGCCTCTTGTTATTTTCACAGGTACACACCTTAGTGCTAATTTTGGTTCGTATATTCAATTTTCTAATCTGTAAACAAGTTGAGAAGCACTTGCTATTTCAGGTATCAACCATCATTTCACGAGTTGCTTATTTGGGAGTGCACTGTTAGCTAATGAGACTGAAGGGAGCTACAAGTGGGCTTTGGAGATATTGAAGGAAATGTTGGGTGGAAAGGACTTGCATACAGTTGTAACAGATGGGGATAAAGCAATGAGGAATGCCATTGATACTGTGTTTCCATATGCAACACACCGGCTTTGTGCGTGGCATCTTTCAAAGAATATCAAGGGCAAGGTGAAGAATAGCCCAGACTTCGAACCCCAATGGAGCACATTTGTAATTGCTGATTATGAGCAAGAAGAATTTGAAGAGAAATGGAAGGAATTAGTGGGAAAATGTGGTCTACAGAAAAACCAATGGGTGACTAAAAATTTATTTGGGAGACGCGGAGAATGGGCGGACACATACTTACGCTCCCACTACTTTGCCGGGCTGACAACCACATCAAGAAATGAAGGTATAAATTCATTTGTTGGAAGATATTTGGAGGAGAGACACTGTTTGCTTGACTTTTTCATTCAGTATGATCGTTGGTGTAGGGATTTGAGGGAAACAGAGATCAAATTAGATTTTAAATCTAATTATGGTTTAACCCCGCTAAAGAGCACCATGCTTAGACCCCTTGAAGAAAGTGCAGTTAAGTTGTTCTCGAAAGCTGCATTTCTTAAATTCAGAAGTGAACTAGAGCAGGTTATTGGGTGCATAAAGAACACTCAATCTGAGGATGGAAACATACACACCTACAGTTTAAGTATGTTCAACAAACAGAAGGTTGTGGAGGTAAAATACAACCTTGAAACAAAGGATATGGAGTGCAGTTGTAAAAAATTTAACAGTGTTGGAATTCCCTGCACTCATATGCTCTGTGTGTTGAAAGAAGAACGGGTGAAAAGTCTTCCTGAGAAACTGGTACTTAAACGTTGCTCAAAGAACCCAAAGCCAATAGACAGTATGCCACCGCCACCTAAGTTGGGGGATGATCATTCTTTCAACACCAGATATGGGTCACTCCAGTTCTTGGCTACACATATTTTCCTATTGGGGGCAGAGACTCCTCTATCTTTCCAGGTTGCTCGAGGGGGGTTGACAGCAGTGAGGGACAAGTTGGAAATGATGAGAACAACTCCGGCTGAAAGGGAATCGATGGTAATACCTAAGGAGTTCGAAAGAGCCCTCAACCCCAAAAAAGTGATGTTCAAGGGATTTAGAAAAGGAAAGGCAAAAAAACAACAGAAGAAAAAGAAGATGAAGTGTGGGAGATGCGGTAGAAGGGACGGTCATTATATTAAGACTTGTCCTGAACCCGAAGGCTACGTGTCGCCAGCTACAGAATCTTCGTCTGATGAAGAGGATGACGACGATGATATGGATTTTGCGGACAGTGATGGAGGTGATGATGGAGATGATGACGATGACCAAAGTGGTCGGCCCCAAAAGGTAATTGGTAAAACATATTTGAGTTCTTATCAGAATTAATAGTTCTTAAAAACTAAGTGTTTTTATCATGGTTATATCATAAGCAACGAACTAGCAACCACGATGCTGATGTAGAGCCTACGGAAAACATACCGAAGCTACATAAGGTTATACAACACTTGCTTTCTAAATTTTCTTCTATTTGGTAGAAGTAGCTATCAACTTAAGAGTTTAATTTCTACTCTTGTAACAGACTGGGCCACGTACTAGGAGTAGTACTATGACACATCAGCAGCAAGGGAAATCCAATAAGCATACAGAACCTAGTGTGGAGCCTTCTACTCAATGTTATGAACGCCAATCTGAGAGGACCCAACAGGTTTTTTAGTGAAAATAATCTAATGCATCCTAATGTATATATTATGTGAGAACCTTTGCTAAAAGTTACAGTTTCAATGTTCTTTTATCTTGTTTTTTATGTTTCAGAAGAGGGGACATGGCAAGAAGTTGAACAACACAGACAAGGCAAGAAGTTGAACAACATCCAGAGCAAGGATTTGAAAAGCACTCAGTTTTTGTTATTTGTTCATTGAAATTGATGGGACGGAATCTTTTAGCTTGGTTGATTTACAACAAGTGCAGCCTTTGACGGTTTATTTTTTGGTTTGACGAACATAGAGAGTTGGAAATGAGTTCTAAGTTATTCAAGGACATACCTCGTGCATTTTTTGCAAGGCTGCTTTGATTTTAAGTTTGTTGTCTTCTTCATCTTCTCTTTGAGGTGCCTGAGATTGATATGCATATGGTTGGTTATTAAATATATACCATAATTTATCTAACATAAGTAGACTGATCCAACATAGGGACCAGATTTATATGTAATAGGGGTTGAGATAAACTTACACCAACTGCAGCACGTGTCTTGCATTCCTTAGAACCAGTTTGACTCTGGCGAGACCTCGACAACTAGACATCATATTCCCAAGGGCGACAAGTATGTTTTACCTTTACAATGTTGTCTGCATACTTCATAACCATGGACACTGCTTGCCCACTGCATACAAAATAGAAGCAGTAAGCATTAAGTACTCAAACCTAATTAGATACAGTCCAAAGGGAGAGCTCAGATACCTTAGTGCGTGGTTGAGAACCATGAGAATAGTAACAAATGAGTATCCATGGAAGAATCCCCTGGAAATTCATTTTGCGACCATAGTATAAGTCAAAATGAAGAAGTCCCAAAGTTGGCTACAGAAATATCACACAATCCTTACAGGTTGGTTTACAAAGAACATAGAAACTCAAATATGAAACTCACTTGTTCATGACTGCATCAAAATCCTGGATCAGTATTGCAACAGCGTTGAAAGCCATACCAAAAACATATAACCAGAAATTCTGAACATTTATATTTCTTGAGGGACGCTTCTTCATTATGGCCTGCCAATGATATACGCAAACTAGTCAGAGCTAACATAATGCTGGGCCGCTGTTGTTTCTCCAATGGCAAACAATCAGGTGTAAGCTACAGTTAAGACTTAAAGCAGGGTTGACAATATGACATAGAGTAACCAAATATGATCATCAATGATAAACTAATTTAGAACTTGAGTTTACCTCGGTGTATACTCCAGCAAAACCACTTAAGAGTGCCATTACCTACAATTGGGCACATTTGGTGCATAATGCCTCAGTTCAGGAATCCACTGTAGCAGCAGCTCATCATCATCTCAAGAAAAGAAACTGTATTCCAATACGAAAAAACCCCAAAAGTGGATCGAGAGCGCGAGAAATCAGGGTACCTTCTTGTGAATGTTCTCGTAGCTAGCTCTGCTGGTGAGGGAGAAGGCCATTAGGAACACATCAGCTCCTCTGTAGCTCAGTGGCCTCAACCTGTTGTATCCTCCTGCCCTGAAATTAGTTTAATTAAACCCACAAATCATTAAGCACCCTCTGGAAATTGCTCATGGCAGCAAAATTGTGAACTGATTCACTTACCAGCAGTGTTCCATAAGCCAAGATTGACAGTACTGTAAACCACCTCAATTCATGTTCGTCCTTTCTTGCGTGTAATGGGTTCTTTCAGTGAATCAAAGCCTTCTCCGTCGTCACGCGAGCTCGTATACTATCGCATCTTTTCTCCCCTGGCGCCGGCATCGGAGTTATCTTCCCTCAATCCGTCCGTTTGTCTATCGCCATGGTCTCCGACAACTGCAGCGCGGAATGGGATCTGCCGTTAAGCAAGCTCTTCCACCGTCCCGCCCCCAGAAAACGATGGCGAATCAGTTCAGAAGGAAAACCCTCCTTCCGCCATCAGCAAACTCGGAGACGACCTCCTCGTCGAGATTCTGATTCACCTCCCCAATCCCAGATCCGCCTTCCTCTGCAAACCCGTCTGCAAGCTGTGGAGCTCCCTCATCTTCGATCCCAGCTTCAATCACCGTTTCGTTGCTCGCTACCAGAGCATGAACCTGAACCAATCGCCGTTTCAGTGAATCAAAGCCGAATCGGGGCGAGGGAAGTGCAGAGATTCGGAAGCCTACCTTCTTCGAGTGATTCATAATGCGATATGCATGCGCCATAGATCCCAGAAATCGTAGATCTCAAGCTCCGCATGCTCATCGACAAGGCCACACAGTCGGCCGCCGGCAAAGTGGACCGGCTTCAAAGACCCCAAATCGACCAGATTTCCCAGAAACATCAAACGATTAATGGAAAGAGAGAATGCAAATGTGCTCTTCTGTTTCAGTGGGATGGTAAGGGTTGCAACGAAATGAAATTTTGTTTTGGCGGATAAAAACAAGGTTTCTGAAAAAACAAGAGGGAGAATTTTAATGTTTTGATTTTCTCACTCCCGTATTTTTTTTTTCTAATTTGAAATTAGCGGGAAATTATAAGTAATTACTCTACTTCAGTTTCTTTTCTATTTTGGTATCATAATTATTTCATAAATTAAATTAGCTTATGTTATTTAACGATAAATGACATCCCAAAAAGCTATAGTAAATGGCGTAAACGACTAATTTTCTTATGGGTTTGTTGGTTGTTCGTTGTCAAGTTTGATCTTCAACTTCCATGTGCGTTGGCGATTTTGGATGATGGCGGTGGAGGTTCACCGTAAATTAGGTTTAGGCGAATTGGGTGCGATAATCGACTCGTCTTACTCTTATGCATATTTAATCATGTTTCCTTATATTATATGAGTATCTATACATAATTGAACATGATTCGTCATTGGATTGAGTATAAATTGAGATACTTGGGTCATGATGAAGCGGCCCAAGTATGAATCATAAATTGCCGAATGAATAAATACCAAATGTCATATAGTTTTGTCCACTCAAGTTGTTAACTATTGATAGTTTCATTAGCCGTGCGTATAATAAGCCCATTCATGTAAAGTAATTCAACAAAATCACAATTAGTGGTACATGCAACAAAATCACAATTAGAAAAGAAAATTTTTTGATGTTCAATTACACTCTATAATTGTTTCATATTACAAAGGTGTATCTATGATACGATAAAAGCTAAACCGGTTAAGTGTTAATTTTCCAACATAATCTCCTTCCTCCATGCAAGCTTATGAACATGGGTGAAGCCATCTAGTAAGTTCAGGAGATATCCAATAGACGGGAAACATGGCGGAATGGTGAGGCACGCAGCCGGAGCTGAGAATCGGCGACAACGATGATGGAGCTTATTGGTGACGCGCAGCTTAATTTGCTAGAAAAATAGATGATGAGCTGAAGTCGATGCCATCTTAAAAGTAGATGATGAGCAGAAGTCGATGCAGGTTGGAAACAGGGACGAAGATGAGCTGGAGTTGATGACCGGTCTACAGCCGATGAGGACCTCGAGTCTTGGGTTAGACGAGGGGAGCAAGCACAACTCTGCATGATCAGAAAACCTAAAGCATGAATTTTACGGATTAAATTTAGATCGCCTCTGGGGTTTAGGTTTTGATTGTTGTTTGGTTTTGATGATGATGTGGTTAGCTATTGCGGAAGTTATGATGAACAGATGATGACGATGGAGGTTCAATTGGAATGTGAGATGATGACGATCCATTAATTGGAGCAAATTTTAATTGACCTCTTTTTTTATCAATTATAGATTTTTGGGTGTTCAATTAAAAAAGTTTACGAAATACTATACCATACGCGAAAACATAACGGTATTTTTTGCGAACAACCTCGTTAACTAAACGAGCCGAACTCGAGCCATATCATGTTCATCTCGAAGTCTCGCGAACAAGCTCGAGTCATGCCTAATAAATAAAAATATTTAAGTACCACACACTTCTTAAGCACACTAAACTATGAGTTCATTATTCTTAAACTAATTTAAAGCATGAGTATGTAAAGTACTTAGAATATGTAATGGGTTAAGAATATGTAATGGGTTATGGGTTAAGAATGAATGAAGAGACAGAAATTGGGAAGCCATTCCCTGGTTGGAACAACAAGAATCCAACTGAATACTATGTTTTCATGGTATCCTACTTTCTTGCTGTTGTGGTTGGAATTCTGACCATAGCCTTACGTGGCTTTCCAATGGAGAAGGAATATCAACCTAAGTTGGATGAAGGTTATAGCCATTAGCCAAGTCAAAGAAGAAAAGAAGAGAGGTAGAGAAAGAGGAGATAGATGGTGCTAGAAAAGTACCACATCGGTGGTTCCCGATAACTCCACTACCCCACTTACTATAAAAAATTTGGTGGTGTAAAATCCATTGAGTAATATGGGCTCTAGTTGTTTGCTCTGGTTGAGGCCCGTGCTTGGCTTCACAAGGTTCTGTACAATTTAAATGGACTTAAACATGTGAATTTTGGTTGCCAAAATTTATTTTTATTTTTATCGAAACCTGCACTCAGCTTTTATTGATGAACAAAAGAAGATACATCGTCAATGTGAAGCTGATCTAGCAGATTTAGCGGTGGCCTCTCAAACCAAACTTCCGCTTCATTCCATCGAGTTCTCGTATGCGCCATAATATGTGCCGCCTCGTTTGCTCTTCTACTCGCATGCCTTAGCTGTCCCCCTCTGGCTTCATCCAGGAGTCGTCGGATATGTCTACATACCACTCCAATCTCCGTATGGACTTCCGATGCCGAACTCACATGATTTACCACCACCAGGCAGTCCGACTCAATGACAGGGGGGCCTAACTGGTGTTGGCGAGCAAGCTGCGCACCAAATTCCAAAGCTAGCGCCTCCCCCATCATCGGATCTTGGATTCCTCTCACCTTCTTGGCTGCTGCCATGATGAACTTACCGTTGTGATCTCGAGCGACCACTCCCAAACCGACTCCTTCACTGTCCACTCCTGCGTCAGTATTAATTTTAATCATACCCTCCGGTGGACGTCTCCACAGGTGGTCCATCTCAGTTGCGGGTTGCGCTTCCTCCCTTCCCTGGTACGATTGGTATTCTTCCAAATAGGCTATCGATCTTGGGACAGTATCTGCCTCCTCCATCTTCAGTCCATTAAAGAGGTGGGCATTCCTTTCTCTCCAGAGAAACCAAAGTAACACAACCCAATTCTCAAAGTCGTGCTCAGTAGCACTCCCGGCCACTTTACGGAACCACTCCATGCAATTCAAATCCCCTCTCATCTCAAAGCAGTGGGCAACACTTGAACCTCTCCATAACCTGCTCATCCATGCACATTGGCTAAACAGATGTACCTGATCCTCTCTGTGGTTGCAAAACGGGCAAGCATCCCCTCGCCTCGGATTTCGGTGGTTCACTCGGTCTCCCGTAGCTAGTGCCCCTCTTGTAAACTTCCACATGAAAACCTTGATTTTGGGTGGGAGGTTCATCGACCAAAGCCGGTTCCACAACGCTGGGTCACCTACACTTCGATCTCCCTTCTCCTCTTGATGCCGCGTCAACCATAGTCTGTAGCCTTCCCTGGCCGAATAACTTCCATCCTTGTTGCTTGCCCAAATAAGTCTATCCGGCTCCTGTGGGTCTCACAAAGGGATTTGTCGAATGGAATTCACCATTTCCTCCGAGAAACAACTCTCTAAAACTGTATCATCCCACTTCTCCTCCTCCTCGTCCATGAGATCCCGAACGACTGCATCCACTGGGAGCCCCATCGGAGGTGACTGTATTACGTACCCTGGCGTGGTCGGTAGCCATCGATCTCCCCAAATCCTCACTGAGGATCCATTACCAATCCTCCACCTCAATCCGTCCAGCAAGAATTCCTGAGCACTCATCAGGCTTCTCCACACGTAGCTCGGACAATGGCCTACCCTCGCGTCTAGAATGGATACATTCATATGATATTTTGCTTTCAACAGACAGGCCACAAGGGAATTCGGCCGCTGAAGTAGGCTCCACAATTGACGGGTAAGAAGAGCTTGATTAAACCCGCGGAGGTCCCGAAACCCCATTCCCCCTTGAGCTTTCGAACAGATCAAGGCTTCTCTTGCAATCCATTGGGTCTTCCGCTCCTGCCCCCTTTGACCCCACCAGAATCTAGTAATCAGGCCATGAATTTCATCAATAACGCCATCCAGGACCTTGAAAACAGACATCGTATATGTTAACTGTGCCTGAGCAACCGACTTGATCAACACTTCTCTAGCTGCAGCGGACATAGTCTTTTCCTTCCAACCTGACAGCTTTTTGCGCACTCGATTTTTCAGGTAAACAAACAGTTCCTTCTTTGATCTACCGACTTGAGTGACCAGACCCAAATATTTATCATGTTTTTCGACTGCCTTCATTCCCAGTGTGGAGCTCACGATTAGACGTTGGTAGGGATTAACATTCTTACCAAAAGTGACTTCCGACTTCTCAAGGCTCGCCAACTGGCCTGATTCCTTCTCATAATCACTCAATACTCGTCTCAGCTCCCTACTCTCCTGTGCATTTGCCCTAGCGAAAAAATCGAGTCATCAGCAAAAAATAGATGCAATATGACTGGAGCGCCGCGAGCCACAGACAAACCATGAATCCTCTTCTGTCTAACCGCAAGCGAGGTATAGCAGGAAAGCCCCTCCGCCACCAGTAAGAAAAGGTAAGGGGATAGGGGGTCGCCCTGCCGTAACCCTCTGCTCGGTGAGAAAGTTTCTGATTGGTGACCGTTGACCAGGACTGCGTATGTCACAGACCTGACACACATCATAATCATCCGAATCCACCTCTCAGCAAAGCCCATCCGATGCATCACGCCTTCAAGAAACCACCATTCTACTCTATCATATGCTTTTGTCATATCCGTTTTTGCTGCCAAATAACCCGTCTTATTCTTCGTTTTCTTCTTCATGGTATGGAAAAACTCGAACGCAGTCATAACATAGTCAGCTATAAACCGGCCAGGGACGAAAGCACTCTGCTCTGGTGAAATAATTATGTCCAGGAAGATCTTCAATCTGTTCGCCATTGCTTTCGATAACATCTTATACATTACATTGCATAAACTGATGGGTCTGAATTCCTTCGCCATTGCCGGGTCTTTCACCTTCGGGATGAGAGCTATCAGAGTATGGTTGAGCCCAAGCGGTAGGGATTCATTCTCCGTCACCTCCAGTAACATTTTGGTC